TTCAGCACATTTAAAAAGTTTTTCTCCTTCAAGTTTCTTTTTGTTATCATAATTTGTAAGAGATTCTATAAATTTAACAACAACTGGATTGCGGTCATTGAGCCATTGAGAAATCGAATACTTTAAAAGATTATCTAAACTGAATCGCCTCTGATCATTTATTAAATTGGCAATATTATCATATATATTTTTGCACTCTTTTTGAGCAATTTCTATTGCAGCCGTCACCCATTTTGATTGATTATCAAATTGAGTATCCCATTGTTCTCTTAATACTTGATTTTCAAATAATAAATCCTTAATTTGAGACTTTAATTCATTGATTATTTGCTGATCGTCATTAATTATTTGCCGATATTCATTTATAAATTTAACATCTTACTGCCGTTGAAATTCTAAAGCATATAAGTTCACTTCATTCTGAGATAATTGTAATAAAAGGCTATCCATATCTGAGTGTGGTAAAGAAACTTGAATCCCAATTTCATTGACAGCTTTTAATTGAGGTGTATCATCAGCCGTCAATAGTTGTGACACATTTTTGTCAATAGTATGCCATAATCGTTTACGTTGATTTATATGAATAGATTTATTTCCTGTTCTTAAATGCTCAAGAAGATGGTTAGTAGCAATTATTTGATTATAATGTCATTCACAGAAAGAATAATGCTCCAAAGATTCACTTAATGGTACTAATTCCGGAAAATATTCAGCAAAGGAACTTATCTGTTCAAATGCCACTTTTCCTGTTGCATGCCGCCATTGTTGTTTCTGTTTGGTTTCACATAGTGATAACGGGCTTGAACTTGAGTATATCTCAGTAAGTGTAGCAAATAAACATGGTAAAGTATCGGCTTGTGGTCTTGCTTCTGCATTCACTAAAGGTCATAAAATAAGCAAGAGTCAGTTACAGTTCTTTGCGCGTTTTAAATGAAATAAACTCATAAAATACAAATTTTGAGGTAAAGAATACTTCGGTCAGTTTTGTGGATTATGAACAAAGGTTTGTGGATTATAAAACTACACACTTGAATGCATTTATTTCAACAATTACATGAATTACTGATATGTTAGCATACAGTTTTCTAGATGAGATGATCTACAGATCTATAGATTTTAAGAACCAATCAAAAATTTTCAAATAACTAACATTCTTCGATTAGTATTCTGTTACACAAAATCCTTTTTTAGAAATCTCCTGGACTGCAATATCTGAAGGGATAGATTTAAAACTTTGATAAGAATCTTCTTTACTTTGAAGACTATGAATTTGAGTAATGTTAGATGATTCTGAGTCAGTAAAGATAGAGTATTAGTGAAAAGTTTCTGAGTCAAATTAATTTTCTATAAGTATAATATTTCTAATATTTGAAGTATCGATAAGTTCAATTACTTCTTGTAATTCTGAATTTTTCATAAATTAAATTTCAAATGAATAATATTGACAATAAATGCTGACGTGTTAGAAATTTAAATTTTTCGTAAATTAAATTTCAAATGAATAATATTGACAATAAATACTAACGTGTTAGGAATCTGAATTTTTCGTAAATTAAATTTCAAATAAATAATATTGACAATAAATGCTGACATGTTAGAAATTTGAATTTTTCGTAAATTAAATTTCAAATGAATAATATTAATAATAAATGCTGACGTGTTAGAAATTTGAATTTTTCATAAATTAAATTTCAAATAAATAATATTGACAATAAATGCTGACGTGTTAGAAATCTAAATTTTTCGTAAATTAAATTTCAAATGAATAATATTGACAATAAATATTTTTATTAAATAACTTCATTATCTTGATTATTATTTTCGTATAATAGATCAAAAATTTTACTTCTTGTTAATAATGTAGGATCTCATTTTAATCCAAAACAATTTGAACAAAGCAGTGAAGAAGAAAGTGAAAATGATTTAGATAATGAACAAGAATCAAGTCAAAAACGGTAAAAAAAAACAAAAAAAAAACATTAAACTTACTAATATTAAATTAGTATATCTTCTACCAAATACTACAGTTTATCTTCAACCTATAGACGCAGGAATAATTCATAGTTTTAAAACAAAATATAAACAAGAATTTTGTAAACACATAATTTATCAATTTGATTCTGATATTGATTATATAAAGTAAGTAATAAAATATTATTGTTGTTTTATAAAATTAAATAAAATTAATTAATTTATTTATTTAGAAATAAATTAAATCTTAAAAAAGCTATTGATTATTTAGCTAAAGCTTGGAATAATGTTAGTCAAATAACTATATAAAATTGTTGGAATAAAATGGATATACTTCCATTATCTGATAATAATATAGATGATAATGAAGTAGAAGAAGATAACGAATTAAATGATGATGATAATTTTTTGATTATTTGGAAAAAGCTGATGAAATAAGAAAATATTTTCGAATTATTAATGAAGTATTTTAACTGAAGAAAATTTGAATGATGATCAAATAATTAATTTAATGCAAAATGAAGATGATGAAATTAATTGGAGTGATAATGATAATTCTGATAAAGAAATACCTTTAATATCAATTAAAAAAGGTATAAAAGGATTGAAAACATTTATTAATTATTTTGAATAACTAAATAATTCAGAGTTTAATTTGAAAGATTTAAATATTTTTTGAAAATACTTATGAATTATTAAAACTGAAGAGTTTAATTCAAGGAATCAAAATACGCTTGATGGGTTTTTTAATAATTAGATATTTTTTAATATTATTAAAAAATAATACAATTTTTTTTAATGATATTAAATAATTTTTTTTTAGTATAATGTTTATTTAGTATTTTTTTTGATATGACATTTATATAATGCATTTTATTTTATATGATGTATTTTTTATATTATATAATAATATAATTTAATTTGGGTTTATACGTTGAAGTAGATTCAATAAAATTTTTGCGTTGCGTAAAAAAAAGTGTTATAATTATACGAAATATATTATAGTTGTATAAAGTTGAATTTTTGTAGTAACATTGTATGAACTTTAATCTTAAAAATAAATTATATATAGATGTTGAATTCATAAGGGTGGGTAATTGGAGGGTTAGATAGTGGGTAAATTGTTTTTTTTTTGCAAATTTTCATGAAATTCAAAGCAGTATTTGATTCTAATAAAAATCTTTTAATATCTATCTGATTTTTATAATTAAATATTCATTTAAAAAAAATTTTTGTTTAATATTATATAATTATATTTATTATTTTTTATGTGATTTTTTATTTAATTTTAACTCAAAAATGCATAAAAATAAATTTTTTTTAATCACATTAATATTAAAATTTTACTAATATATGATTATATAACAAAATCTTTAATATAAGCATATCTCTTTATAATCACACCTTTTAGTAATCCTGAGGGATGTGATTATAATAGAGAATAACTATATTAATAATATCATTAGAAAGTTTTTGATTATTATTATAAGTTGAAGATTTATTTGCAGGTATTGAAAATATACTATTTTGACATATTATATTAGCTCGATATGAATCAAATTTTGCTAAAATAAACTAAAATAATAGAATATTTTTATATTAATATATGCTTGATATTAATTAATATTATTATTAAATTAACATTATAATATTTACCTTTAATTCTGCTTAAGTTTTTAAAATTAAATAAAAATAAAAATAATAGCTATTCTATCTAGTATCACCTGAAGATACTAAATATATATATTTATTATAAAATCTTATTTGTTTATCACAAAGATTGCTAGTAAAAAAATACTGATTTATTAAAATAATTAACTAATCGAACTGCTTCTTTTGATACTTTTTGATATAATACTTGTTCTTTAAAATTTTTACCAAAAATGAGATTTATTTGGTGAGCTATACAGGGTAAAAAGATTTTGCTTAGATATTATCTTCTTATTTGTCATCTAAAATAAAGTCAAGTTATTAACTATTAATCTTATTCTAATTTATAATAATTAACTATTTAAAAATTTACCTTACTGCAGCATATTCACTGGCTAAATCTGAAATAAATGCCTTTATATTAACTTTTTTTTCTTAGTATCTTTCATTAATTCTTCTATATATAGAATAACATCAGCTGTATGAGATTACTTAGAACTTATTTCATATGTATATCAAACTAAAGATTAACCTTTTAATGTAATAAATATTATATCTTATAATTATTCCATTTTTATATTTGTCTATCTATCAAAAGCAGCTGTAACTCTATTTTTATCATTTTCTGCAAGTTTTATAATATTTTATTAAAGAGATTTAGTTATATTCTTTAATATTCTATCACTAATTGCTTTGTGATTAGAAAGAGTAAGTCCAGGTGTAACAAATTTAAATAGTGCTTTAATTTCTTTATTATCTACAAAAAAAAAGACCATTTGATACTGTCATCTTAAAAAATAATTGTTCAAATTGAGGTATATCTTTTATTAACATTTAATAACGATAATATGAAGTTAAAGTTTATTGTTAATTATCACGTTAAAACTTGATACTGCTAATGTAGAAAGTTTCCTTCGTTTTGCTAACTGAGAAATATTATCATCATCTTTGTTACTAACTAATTTATAAATAAAAGTGTTTAGCAAATTTTTAAAAAATAATGTTACTAATTATTAATAATAAATAACAAACTTTCTATAATTTCTTTCTTTTTATCTTTATTTTCAAGTACTAGTAAACTAAGCATTTTTTTACTTCTTCTTTAGAAAATTTTTTTTAAAATTTTCACATTTTGCTAAATATACACAGCATAACCTTACTTTATTGATATATAATATTCTGATTTTAATTTAGCTTCTTCTATTCCGCTATCATAATAATTAATACAACTAAGACATACTGCAATAGCATTTTCTATATTTAATAAATACAAAATATAGATGAAAATTATGTGACCCTAGAAGCATTTTTTATAGTTTAAAAAGAAATATCAGTATAAATTAATAATACATGCATAGTTAAATAATAATATAATACTTAGAAAATTTTTTTTAATAACATGTTTAAGATCTGTTAATATGCGATTTATTGCAGAGATTCAATTAATCTTTAGATTAACATCTACTATATATGTAAAATTAGATTATCCTAATATAAACAATATATTTTAATAAAGTTATTTAAATAATCATGATTTTAGACTAATATCTATTGGCTGAAAAGATCAGCAAGTCACATGAATAATATATAATTTGTAAATATACAGTTTAACACTATCTATTAATATAAATCTAAATATAAAATATTTATTATAACTATTATTTAAAAGCAAAAAGTATTAAAAAGTTATTATTTAATAATTTATATATTAGTTTGTAAAAGAACACTGGAAATTACATTTTAAAATTAATATAGTATATATTGCAAAGTTATACAGTCAACTCTTATTATAACAAACTCTATATCCTAAATTTCAACTTCGTTATAAGGCTATAGTGAAAATTTTAAGAGATTTGATTGGCCAATTTGCTATAACAAGAGTATTTTTAGTATATTTGTTCAAAAAATTCGTTATATCAAGAGTTCGCTATATCAAGAGTTGACTGTAAATAGTTTATTTCATAAAGAATGTGTCTGCTATTTACATATTATTCATAATATTTAATGTTTATACATTTTTAAACTGCATTTAAATGAGCTAAAACTATACAAAAAGTAAGTATTCAATAAGTGATAAGGTGAATAAAATAAGTCTTTTTGAAAAAATATATTTGGCATTATATTTTTTGTATCAAATAATTGATTTTACATTATTTGAACTTAGAAATTTTTTTTAAAAATTATATTATTCTATAAGATATTTATAGATATTTGATCAGATATTTGTGCTATCTATATAGATTATAATTTACAGATTACTTTTCTAAATCTATTATTGAGTAATATTATGATTTAGGTCATATTAGATAACTATCAGTTATAAC